TTCGGTTCGAGACTAGATGGCGCTAGTGCCGTCGACTAAGGCGCGTAACAATAATTATAGATCGGAAATTCCTATAGACGTTATTAATAATTAAATTTTTGAAAATATTTTTTAAGCCTTATCATGTCTGCGGTGGCAAGTCAAATCATTCATTATTTCTTTATTTACACCACTTTGCAGAGACGCAGCCAAGAATTAGCAATGTATACAGGAACTTAAATGGAAAGGGTCAAAATCCAGGGATATTGGAAGCACTTTGGCAGTATTCAACTTCATCTCGCCTCCTGTCTTACGCACCCGCTTTTTCTTTGCGCTTTCACTTGGCTCGTAACATTGCGGGCACAGTTTGGAATTATTTTTTTTTAAATTTTCAATTGAAAAAATCGTGGCGCTTACCGCCGCCCCCGTTCGTATGCCGCCCGGGCTCTACGCTATGCCACTGGCAGGAAGAACTTAACGGGATGTGTTGTAGTGGCGGAAAAGGTCAGCTACCCGCCATTGAATTCTACCCTGAATGACTGTATAATCTACTTACTTGGCAGCATTCAATGTCAGTGCACTTCCTCTCTTTAACTCGACAGTGCAATTTTTGTTTTCAAATGACCTCTTTTGGGGCTAGAGAAATCAAAGAAAGTAATTTTATGCCGACGTTAAAAGTACAGGGACAAGTATACCATCGAATAGTTAGTATTATGGATGCCCCCTTCCTTTCTGCATGTATATTTAGTCGGTGACGACAACATTGAAAGAGACCACCGCTGTAAAATTTTCACTGCTGTTAAACCTGAATTGATCACCGATTTACAGAAACTCCTGCACCAAAATAATATCTAATATCAAAGATTTTAAAGCTTCCGTTGATTCGTTACCTTTAGGGCAAAAAGAATTCAAAATAATTATTAGCGCTAATAAAAAACCTGTTTGAGTGCATGCTAATTGTTTTAATACACCCACGTCTAAATAAGTCCGCCAGGAGTTTGAAAAGAGAGATATTATTCTTCATGGGAGAGACAACAGATTGGTGCGTGTCAGTGAGACACACCGAGCTTATGATGCTTTGCAATATCCCCTCATATATTGTCATCGAGGTTATCAGATTAATATACCTCGACATGATCCAATAACAAAAGAGCCTCTTAGAAAAACGGTGTCTGCTGCTGATTTTTACAGTTTGTTTGTAATCTGTTGCCATTCCGTAGTCTATTAAATCTATTTCTGGTCGATATGTATGCAAAAGTTGAAACAGAACGACTATATTATATTTGTTATAACCAGAAAAAACTAAGGAGTGAAGAATATGTCAATTAAAAAGACGCCCTGGCAAGAACGGATGGCCAACTTTCTGAAGTAGGTAAGATAGTAGGGTAGTCCTGCCATGTTCTTTCACGGAAGGGCCTCGCTACATGCACGAGCATACACAAGATGCTCTGACTTATGTGCCTTACTATGGACAGCCAGATCTGTTTATTACATTTACATGTAATCCCAAATGGCCAGAAATTGTAGAGTACCTAAAATAAGTGTAGAAGTCTCTTGACAGACACTATCTGGTCGCGAGGATTTTATATCCTATCTATATATCTTCTATATACCTTCGTATCTTCATACCCACGCAGACGAATTCGCGGGCAACAGCTAGTGATTATTATAATCTACTGTCTAGAAATATTATTAATATTAAATTAAAAAAATAACATAATAACTTAATTTTTTTGTTTTGGAGACGGTTCACTTTTTATGGTGAATATTCAATATATCATGCGAGAGGGTCGTAAAGGCAATAAATTAAAATTATTTTTTAGTTAATCTGTACATGCGATTTTGTTCGTGTGAACAGTAAAATTTTATTATTAAACCAAAAACGCATGAGAAATGGTTATGAAACATGAACTAGTTGATTTCGCATTATATATTAAACAGTCGTGTAATTTTAAATAATACACAAACATTTTACAGTTTCACATTATGTTCTAACTATTCGTTTGGCAACCCGTTAGCTCTTGGCCATACTCTTATTAGATATTACAAAATTACCTACGGCTAAGCTAACTACCATGCGCATGATTGCGGAGAAGTTTTTGGCCAAAAACCAGAAAGTTTTTTGTGCGTTCATGGACTTGGAAAAGGCTTATGACAGAGTGGACAGGAATGTGTTATGGCAAACACTGAACTCATATGGGTTGAGCGCTGGTTTGATACAGGCATTAAGGTCTCTTTATAGGGACTCTAGTGCTTGTGTCAGGATCAATGGGGTTTACTCGGGCTGGTTTGACATCCAAAAAGGTGTCAGACAGGGCTGTGTAGCTTCCCCTTGGCTGTTCAACCTATTTATGGACAGGTGTTTGCAAACTTTGGAAGATGAAGAATGTGGGTTAAGAATGGGCGAGTTAACCGTCAAATGTCTTTTGTATGCCGATGATCAAGACATATTTGCGACATCGGCGGCTGAGTTGCAAATGATGGTTACATTAATGAACTGGGAATTAAAAAAAAGGGGGAATGAAAGTGGACGCAAGTAAGATGAAAGTGATGGTTTTTGAAAGAGAAGAAAGAAAAACGGTATGTGAAATAAGAATAGAAGGAGAGTTAATTGAGCAAGTGGATGAGTTTGTGTATTTGGGATGTGTATTTAGCAGGGATGGTAGATATGATAGGGATATCGAACGACGAGTAAATGCAGGGAATAGAGTGAATGGGGCACTACACTCTATTACGAAGAACCAGAATGTGTCCAAAAAGGCACGTATGGTAATTCATAATGCTGTGTTAGTCCCTACTTTAATGTATGGTAGTGAAAGCTGGGTGTGGCAGAAAAAACAGGAGTTTTAAGGATTATGCTAGGGTTGAATCTGAATGACAGGGTGAGAAATTGCGTGATAAGAGATAAATGTGGTATGCAAGATGATGTTGTGATCAGGGTTAAGAAAGGAATGCTTCGGTGGTTTGGTCATGTAGAAAGAATGAATGACGAAAGAGTGACAAAGCAAATTTATATGGCAGATGCGAACGGCCGAGTCGGGAAGGGACGCCCTAGAAAAAAGTTTATCGACCAAATTGGCGATATTTTGAAAAAGGGGCCACGTTAGAAGAACCCTTAACCAACGAGCATGTATGCGTAGATATATGGATGTAAAGCAGGCGAAAGAGGTATGTCAGGATCGTGCCAAATGGAAGTCCATAGTCTCTGCCTACCCCTCTGGGTGACAGGCGTGAGTGTTTATATATATATATATATATATATATATATATACCTACGGCTGGCTCAGGACGGTATCAAATTTGATACCAAATACTGCCCAATGAAAAAATATTTTTTTGTTTTAAACGAAACCAAAGACAATATGCAATGAATTGAATAATATAGTAAAAGACAAAAATAGTAGACAAATAGTGACGGGGGCTATCTTGTACGTGTTCACAGACTGCAGACTTCCCGAACACGTACAGGATCGCCCCCGTCACTACATCAGATTTGATAGACCGCAATTCCTCGCTAAAGAACACCGATTCCTTCCAAGGATGATTCGCGAGGCTATTGAAATCAAAAAACATCCTAATTTCAATAGAGAAGATGACTGGGTGCTACCATCTGCTTGGGATCCTATAATAAATAAAATTAAATCCCAACCCAAGCATACAACTGCAAGACTTCAAGATACCATAAGTTCATACTGTATAGATCGGAACAAAAGTTAAATTTTAATCTATGGTAACCGCGGTTAACTATGACATATGGACGTTGAACATGAGTGCTGTAAAGCGTTCGAAACGTCGGGTATTTAAAAAGTTAAATATACGCGATAAATTCCGTAAAAACTAGTATTATTTCAATGTGTAGTGTTCGCGTAAATATAAGAAATCATTATAAAAAAAAGAAATCACTCTGAACTTTCGGCGTTCCACGTGTCGCATTGCAGTAGGTGCTCCGTCTTTTTTATAGAATTTTATATTTGTGTCTGGACTAAAAACGGAAGTATTATACTTTTTTTGTATTCCTTGTAATATAGTAAACACGTAGATATATAATTTGTGGCATAAAAAGTGAAAATTAAGTACCAAAAGTACTTCGAAATCGAGAAGGCCCATTTTGGCGTTTGGGTCAAAAATTTGTTATTTTTTCCAATTCTCATTTATTTTTAGTGTACAATGTAACTAAAAATAGTTTTATAACATATTTCAAATAACTTGACGTTGTATTTATTTCAAATTCACACAAAAATATATTTGAAATATTGTTCGAAATGTCATACAGATGAATATTATTATTTATTTTTATTTTTTTTAATATTTTGGTATGAGTAACGAATAGAAACACATAAAACATAAAAATATACATATTTCCAAACATTTTAATATAAATTTCTCCAAAAACAAAAGTGTAGAATTCAAATTAGTAGTAATTTTGGCACTAAAAGTGAAGTACATACTACTACTATGCTATAGAGGGTAATTGATGAATTTTATTACAATTTCTAGCAACCAAAAATAATTTTATTCGATAGTTTATACATTCAACAAGAATTCCTGTAAGATTATCCATAAATATTGTCTCAAAGTGAAAATATAGCAAAATTTGCAAGTTAGCAAAAAATTTGCAATTCCCGCCATTCGCGTACCACGCGGCCATAGCATCGTTCCGCCATCTTGTCTCAATGAGCGGCAAATACTTATGCGAGAGGTAGTGTCGTGTGGCGTCCACAAAACGGCGAATTGTGTTTTCGATAAATAATTTACAATATTTCGAGGTAAGTGTTTTGATGATATTTACTATATTATTTGTTTATCATTCTTGGGTGTAGTATAGTTCTATTACGTATCAAAGTGCCTTTTTAAAATATGTTGAACAGGGAATCGAAATCAATAGTTTTTATATTAACTAACTTAACCTTAAAAGTGGTCGGGTTGGGCAAAGTGAATAGGGCAAAGTGGATATGATATCCACTTTGCCCAGCTGTAACGATTTGTAGTTTCAGTATTATAAAGCTAATATTTCGTTGCAGATGGTGCATAAATACAAAAGAAAAACTAATCAAGGCTCTTGTGATAAAGATGTCATGCAGATGGCTGTCAATTTATGCCATGCCGGAGAATCGGTGAAGGGCACAGCTAAAAAGTATGGGTTGGCTTATGCAACTTTGTACAGACACATCAAAAGTGGCAAGGTTACTCCAAAACTCGGCAGATTTCGTCCCATGTTCAGTGAATATGAGGAGATAGAATTAATGACCTATCTCAAAGACATGGATTCCGTGATTTTTGGTTTAACTCGAGATGAGTTTAAGAATTTAGCGTATACCTATCCCAAAAAAAAAAATTATTTGAGTTACCCAAAAAGTTGGGACAAGTATTAAAAAGCCGGAGATGATTGGCTACAATCATTTTTATCACGTCACACTGACATTACGCTCAGGACTGCAGAGGCAACATCGGTTGCGAGAGCAAAAGGATTTAATAGACATGAATTCAGACGTTTCTACGAAAATCTTGAATCTTTGATTGATAAACACAATATTGATGCATCTAGATTTTATAATATGGACGAAACCGGTATTTCTACGACATCAAACAAACCCCCTAGAGTACTATCAATAAAAAGAAACAGGTGGGCATAATTGCAAGTGCTGAGCGAGGTCAATTAACGAGTGTTATCGGGTGTTGTTATGCCGCTGCATCATTTCTACCACCCTTCCTGATTTTCGCCAGAAAGAAGATGCAACCCAGACTTCTTGACGGTGCGCCTCCCGGGACTCAAGGTACTTGTACGCCAAGTGGTTGGACTTCAGGTGAGGTATTTCGTATTTTGCCGACAAAAAGGTACTTCTACTCTTGGACAACCATGAGAGCCACAAATATTATGCTTTGGAATATGCAAGTAAGAATAGCTTCATAATTTTATCCTTGGCCCCGCATACTACTCATAAAATGCAACCTATGGATGTGGCCTTCTACGGCCCACTGAAAACGTATCCTGGACGCACTGTAAATCAGTAGGATGTAGCCAGACTGTTATCACCAGCTTTTATGAAAAGTGCAGTCGCCATAAATGCAGTTCATGGGTTTGAACGACCTGGAATTTGGCCAGTGAACAAATATGCCTTTGGTGATGAAACCTTTGAACCATCGGATGTGATTGCAGGCAAATCAAGTATGAATGTCAGCACAGTAGGCATAGATTCGATACAAACAATAGACATCCCCGATTACGCTGCCTCTTCAACCCCTTCACCCTCACTTTCACAAGAATGCAATTCGACAGTTGATCCTCGTTCAGAAATAGTTCTACCTCCAGGAAAAGCTACAATTTGTGAATTATCTAAACCTCATCCTCAAGTCTCTGTTGCACCAATTGTAGTTTCCCAAGAATCTACTAAAACCTCAGAAAATATTATTCACAGTGAAGTATGCTCCACCATTACATTGGAACCAGAAACAGTGTCTCTTAAAGCTTCTTCTACTTTGGAGCCAGATGCTACAAATAATAATATTATGCATCCTTTAAAAAGTGATGCATTGTTACCAGGTACCTCAAAAATACACGCAGATATGTGGACCGTGATGACCCACCGCATCCGGAACCTGGATGTTCAAACTTTCATTACAGTCCCGTAGTGTTAAGACCAATACCAAATACAGACAAACCAATAACAACTCGTAAACGCAAATTGCAAGTCGGAAATTTTAACTAGTACACCTACAAGAGAAGAGCAGAAGTTAAAATTTAAAAAAAATGCAGTTAATAATATTAGTAAAAAACTAAATGTAGAATCAAAAAAAGTTCCCATAAAGATTACTAAACTAAAACCTGTTAAAAATAATAAACAATCAAAGAAAATTAAGAAATTTGAAGATATTGTATGTTTTTTGCAGTGAAATATATAATGAAGAAAATAATCATCCAATGAAAATTGGGTTCGATGTGGTGCCTGTTTCAGATGGTGTCACGAAGAATGTTCCGCTTTTGAAGGCATTGGAGATTGTACATGTGATAATTGCCAGTCTTAATTTTTAAGATTTGTCATTTAAACGCGAATTTAAATTTTGTCCGTCTATTAAATTCCCTAACTAGGTGTAACTTTGAGTTTTGTGTAATTAGAAGGTAGTTATCCACTTTACCCGGGGGTACGTGCAAAGTGAATACTATCTCAATTTTTTGAATTTTACTTTTTGTTAGTAGTTGTTTTACTTTTAAAGTTAAATGATTACTATATATGTAAAAGCAATTAATAAAGACTGATTTGAGATATTTGTTTTGTTTCCATCTCTTATAAATTTTGCCCGGACTTCCCCTACTTATTTGTAAAAACTTACAACCTACATACGCTTCAGGTTCCAGGCGCTTAGTTTAAAAACGTTAACACATAAATTACTTGCAAGTGCTGCATTATTTAAATATTTCATCAACGTCATTACAGACCTTCACAAGTCCACTTCTGAACATAGACCTCTCCCAAGAGATGCCACAAAGCACGGTTCTGAGCCACCTGCATCCATTGACTTCCCGCATGTCTTACCACGTCGTCACTCAATCTAATAAGGGCCGCCCTACACTTCGCAGGTTCACGGTACGAGGCTGCCACTCGAGAACCTTTCTTTTCCATCGGTTGTCGCTTCTTCGAGCTACATGGCTGGCCCCTTGCGATGTTAGTTTACTAATCCGTAGGGTTAAGTCTGGTTCTACTGTAGATATCCTCATTTTAATTCTATCACGCAGAGGAACCTCAAGTATGCTTTCCCCATAGCTCGCTGAGCGATCTTGAGCTTCCTCATATGGTCAGTAACGAAGAACTACGTCTCAGATTCATAAGTCATCACTGGCAACAGGCACTGGTTGTACAAACTTGTTTTCAAGTTTTTAGGTGTGCCTGACGAGAAGATGTGTCGTAATTACTCGAACGCTGCCCAGCCGAGTTGAATTCGTCGAATTCTCGGTTGAATTTGGACTTACCTAGTCGGACTATTGAAATATTATAGTTAATAATAACTAGCACAATTGTGGATTAGTAATAGATATAATTTATAAATATTTACTTATTTTTTGAAAATTCGTTTTGAAACAATTTTACCGTGTATAATTATTTTACTGCCTAGGTGTCTATTGTAGGTAACACGCGTGATTATTTTGTTGTTGCGTGATATCAACAACCAAAACATGATTGATTTATTCTCAAGGTTATCAAAGACATAAATTAACCGTAAAGTACACAGAACTTGTATTATGAAATTATTGGACTTATTTATTTTGTATTTGGAAGCTTTGGACTGTTGTGATTTTATTTGTTGGATATCGGATTCGATGTCATTTTTATAATAAGGTAAATAAATACTAGATGTTATAGAGGTTCAATTCCGATTCTGAATGTTCGGAACTTCCAGTTGATTTTGCACCTTCGATTCCGATTTAAGTTCCGATATATTTTAATCGGAAGTTATATCGGAGATCGATGAATAGCGGCGTTGGTGGCCGCTATCAGCGCATACGGATAAGTTCATACTTGTAGCGTGGGGAACCTCCCTGAAATGGTTACTTTGCAAGATCTTCCTTTAATTTCATGCAAGATACTGGATTCAGACGACTTAATGCAGTTCATAGTACCGAATTATCATTTAAGGCGAAGAGAATTTTTTACCGATTATATTTGTGAGGAATAATGCGTGTAATTTTATTTTATTAGATGCGCCCTTTACACATACCTATCTCTTCTGCCTTCACCTCCGATTCCGGTTCCGGTTCCGACAAAAGAAATTAAAAATCTCTGCTTCCGAATTCGGTTCCGATATAACCACTTCCGTAAAATACGAATGTACGTTAGCAGCTGTCAATTCCAACTGAAAGTATGTTTTTTAGGAATTGATACGATAAACAATAATTATTGTAGGCTTGTTACTATCGTATTCTATGAGTTTCTATTTCTCTCCTTTTGCTTAAAAAAATAACCTCAGAGTGGAACTTCTCTAGTATCGTGCTGGATTTTTAAATACCTAAGTTTCACAAACATCAACGTCGAATTTATGAACAATTATTGTAAGCCATACGAATATTTGTCTCATGTGGCAGTCGAACCCGTCACCCTGCAGCACCGCTACCAAACGTTTATCCACTGTGCTACCGGGCTGCCAAACTACGGTACGACAAGGAGGATTTAAATTAAAATAAGATCAAATACTGTCGGGATTAAGCCATTTACATATAAGATTTTTCTTTCGTAATTTTTTTTTTCTTTTTATAATATTAGCATCGTAACAGACAATAATAATTATGAAACTAATATGTTGTTCAGAAAGCCTTGTTAAACTTAGCCGCATTATCATTATATATTTTGACAGCCATTATAACAAGGCTTGTTTGTGGAAAAGTTTGTTTGAAAAGTTAGAAAGGAGCAAAATTGCGAAACTCTCCTTTAGGATTTCACATCATGTTCTTACAGAATTCCTATTGTCGTCTGTGATTTGTTCCTTAAATGTAAAAAATGATTTATTTTTGTAGCCAATCATCAATGGAACGAGAAATGGATGATTTACAACAATATTCTGGTTTCTAAATAATGTTTAGATTGCAAAACTTTTAAGTCAAACGAGGATATATAAAATAAATTGGATCAGTTTTGTCCACCAAAGATCAGAAATTTTATAAGTGTAATTATGCTACTACTAGTATAAGACCAGAATGGAGAATATATCATTCATTATATACTCATAAACCCCAAATAAAAACAAATTTACTTTTCGAACAACTCAAGATATCTATCACTTAATAATGAGACAAAAGCAAACTTTGTTAAATAAAACAAAGGTCTTTAACTATATAGTTTACGACCTCTGAGTAAAGATAGTGAGAGACGATCGACGCCTATAAAGTATAAACAATTGAAACACTCAAAGTCTAATTTAATGGGAGTCTATAAATCTTTCGTATTCAATTCAGTTCCATTAAAACATGCATATAAAACGTATATATAGCACGTGGATCGATGTGCTTTGGATGATGATTTAGGTCATGAGCAGTAGGTCACGGCCTTGTTGGAGTGGACGGGTGAATTATATGCGTTGTTTTTTTTTTTCAAATGAGAATACAAAATAAATGTTGAATGATGAAAGAAAATATGAAAATGGGAAATTAAATTAAAATATCAATGCTTTTCCCGATAGGTTTCAACGTGTTGTGTGGTGTCGGTGTTAAAAGAAACCATCATGTATTTTCGTCCCATATGTGTTGTAAGACTATGGAAAAAATACATGCTACCAAAATAAAAAAATACCCAGTTGCCAGTAAAATTAACTAAAACCAGTCAGATAAATTAAATAAAAACTGAGATCTGATTGACGTTTAATGATTAACGATCGATCTGATATGTCTACATCTACACTAATATTATAAAGACAAAAGATTTGTTTGTTTGAATTGAGTAGGCGCCGAAAATACTGGACCGATTAGAATCCTACACTATCACTGATGAACATAGGCTTATAGCATATTTTCAAAAAAATTAGGGATCCATATAAAAACTCTCTTAATTTAACCGACGATGTAAAAAATTAGGGATCCATATAAAAACTCTCTTAATTTAACCGACGATGTGAAAACATATCAAAAAAATTCCTTATACCGCGTGCGCTGCGGAAACCATTAACAATAGAGCAAAGTCATGTGCTACAGTTTTATAGAAGATATCAATATCCACAAAAGAGTCTGCGATACCTTATGTCTAAGTATTCCTGTTATGACACATATATTAAGGTAGGCATTAGCAAAATTTTACAGCACTAGTATTTTACAGTATTCCAGTGGAGGTGTATAAGTTTATCTTCTTAGTTATACCCATAGACGTAGAATAGCTAAGTTAAATATCAATAATTATTAGTGTAGGTATTAGAATTTTTCACAAAATGTAGGTAGGTACAAATAGATATATAATATGAAAACATCGTACAACGATATTCTTGTCACATTATAAATTGCAGTTTGTAAGTATAACAACATTTAAAACTCATTACGGAAATAATCTGTCTATAAATTAAGGATAGCAGAAATATAATTATAGCCATGAGAATTTTGCAGTATTCAGTGAAATTTATAAATTAACGACCTCCGTCAGGGTTATGGAGGATAATGAAATTCAGCGAGCAGCGTCGCGACGATGTCGCTGCATAAAGTTAATGATTCTCTAATCCCTCCCGTATTCACTGGTGTCGTACCTAAATAGCCCGTTACAAGATAATCGTGTGTTTTATTTTGTTTATCGAAATATGTAACTATATTACAAAACATTTGTAATCCGTTATACAGAATGTAAGATATAGCTTATACTCATAATATTTGAAACTACGAATTGGATATTTTTTACTTATTTGTTCATTTAATCTTTTTTGTGGAAAAAATTATCTTATTTTAGATGAGATAAAATGACCTGTAAAGGATCCTTCGGTGCTTCGTCAACTTGCTAGACTTACCTGAAACAAAAAAAGAGTAAATATCTTTAAATATTATTAGTTAATCAAAGTATATAGTTGTAGCACGAATATGGGTCGGTTCGACCGGGGACCGCTCTCACAGTGTAAAATAGCAACTTAATACTGTTGTGTTTCGTATGGTGAGTGTAGAGATCCGGAGA